GAGAGAGAGAGAGAGAGAATTTTTTTAATATTTATTTTTTAGTTCTCGGCGGACACAACATCTTTGTTGGTATGTGGTGCTGAGGATCGAACCCGGGCCGCACGCTTGCCAGGCAAGCGCACTACCGCTTGAGCCACATCCCCAACCCCTGTATATTATCTTTTTATCTGTTGATGGGCTACCTAGGTTAATTCCATAACTTGGCTATTATGTATAGTGTCACCATAAACATGTGTGTATGTAAGTATCTCTTTTGTATGCTGACTTTGATCCATCAGATGCATACCCAGGAGTGGCATAGCTGGAATATGTAGATCATGTTTAATGTTTTGAGGAACCTCCATGTAGTGGAACCCCCTTTCTTCACACACAAAAAAATCTTAACTGGGCTTCTCCAGGGCTTTTCCAGAAATCTTCACCATGGCTGATTTTAGGACTGTCAGCACAAGAGTCTCTACAAAAGAGTTCAATGTGGATACGTTTCCATTTCCATATTGCCCTGTTTTTTGGCCATAAGCCTAGAAGAAATCAGCACTCCAGGTGCTGGGCACCCCCTTACTAGTTTTTCACAAACATATCCAGTTTAGTAGTTTGTAGAAATGTGTAAACAAGGCCTCTGGCCTTGAGCTGAAGCTTCACAGAGATGTCTACATTTCTATGAGAAGTTACCAATTGGGCACATGGTAACAGCTGGCAAGGGGAGGAAAGAAAGGGGAGAAGAAGCTCTCCCTTTTTCAGGTGCTGTCCATTAAGGGTTAACTTGCCCAGAACAGTGAAAGAAAAAGCTGCTTTTATGTGAACTTCTGCAAACTGCGGACTTCTGAGCCCCTCCCCTTACATGCTGGGTATAAAATTCTGAAACTCCCTGAACTCAGGATTCAGGGGATTGATTGATTACAGCAAAAGCTGTGTCGTCTGAACCTGGATGCAGCCAAATAAAAACTGTTTCCTGCTATCTTTGGTGCCTTGCCTCATCTATCCCTACAACATCCATACCATTTTTCCCTAGTAACTGTACTAATTTACTTTCTTGCCAACAATAAATGGTGCTAGGAAACAGGACTTCCACCTGTAGAAGATTGAAAATAGGTCCCTCTTATCCTGTACAAAAAGAGAAAAAAATTTTAAAACTCTAAGTGGTTCAATGACCTTAATTAATGTAAGATTTGAAACTACTAAAGGAAAACATAGGGGAAAACTTTAAGATACTGGTTCAGTAATACCTTCCTTAACCCAATATTTCAATAAATAATAACAAGAATTGACAAGTGGGATTACAGCAAATTTTAGAATTTATGTACAGCAAAGAAAATAATTGAGTGAAAAGACAGTCTACAGAATGGCAGAAAATCTCAGACAGCCATTCATCTGACAGAGAATTAATATCCAGAATATATAAACAATTTAAAAGAAAATAACATCAAAAGAACAAATAACTCAATAAATAAATGAACAAATGAACTGAATGGATATTTCTGAAAAGAAGTTTAAATCCTTATGATGCAGGAGATTGAGGCAGGAGGATCCTAAATTTCAGGCCAATCTGAGCAATTTACCCAGACCCTATCTCAAAATAAACAATAAAAAGGGACTGGGGATATAGTTCAGTAGTAGGACATCCCTGGGTTCAATCCCTTTACTGTACACACAAGACAAACAAAAATCCTAGTGCTGTTACTGAAAGCTTGGTCCTTGTCCCCAATGCCAATCCAATAGGAAGACAAAGCTTTAAGAAAGAAAGGAAAAGAAGTTTTATTTCTTTGCTAGCAAAGAAGAAGTAACTGGGATTCTTGGTGCTGAGACTGTGAATCTTCCAGTCAGGGGGAGCAGAGACCTTTTAAAGAGATGATTCAAAGGCTATATTCTAAGCACCTCATCAAGGGTTTTAATTCACTGGTGGCTGTGAGAGAGATGCATTTCTTAGATCTGGTGAAAGGACAGTCCCAGGCTGAATTACTTTCTCTCTCTCTGGCCTGGGTTCACAAGGACAGATAACCTGGCCTAGGATGGGAATTAGGGTGATCTTGTTTTCCCCAAGGTTTTCCCCAAGGGGGAGAGGTAGAAGAGAAAATATCAGTTTTAAAATAAGCGGCAATAGCAGAACAGTTAAGAGTTACGTTCAAAGCATAAAGTGAACTCTTATTACAGTGGGGGGGGGGGGAAGAAGGGAGGAACTCATACACTGTTGGTTCTTTTGTGTGTGTGTGTGTGTGTGTGTGTGTGTGTGTGTGTGTGTGGCTATAGGAATCAAAACCAGACCTCATGATTGCTGGGCAACACTCTATCACTGAGCTATATACCACCCCTTTATTTTATTTTGAGTGAGCATCTCATTCATTTACCCAGGCTGGCCTTAAACTTGCATCTACTTCAACCTCTTCTATAGGTGGCATTGCAAGCATTCACCACCACTGCTGACTGTTGGTTTATTTTTAAAATATAATTCAGAAGAAAGGCTGACCTGCCAATCCTACTGGCAATGTAAACAATGTATCTGTTGGTCTTTAATTGGTGGATATTATGGTGCTGGGGTGGGGTGGGGGGATTCATTGTGAAACAAATTAAGTACCATCTGTTACCCCATCACTTTCCTTCCAAGCATCCTAAATGTTAGCAGATTACTTAGTTCATAGCCTTGCCCCAACTTGTCCGAGTCAGTGCAGGCAGAGAGGAAGAATGGGGGTGGCAGAGAAGGGACACACCAAGAAGGGAAGCCCAAGAGGGAGGGGCAAGTGCCTACACTCTCCACCTTCCCAGCATCTTCCTCAGTGCCCTGGTAACCTCCCTATTCCTCAGGCTGTAGATGAGTGGGTTGAGCATTGGGGTAAGAATGGTGTAGAAGATAGAGGTGGCCCTGTCTCTTGCTGGTGTCCTAGCTGAGGCCCTTTGCATATAGCTAAATATGGCTCCACTGTAGTAGAGGCCCACCACAGCCAGGTGGGAGGAACAAGTGGTCAGAGCCTTCTGCTTCCCCTCAGTGGAGGGCATCCTAATCACAGCTGTGAGGACCCGGGCATAGGAAGCCACAATGACTCCCAGGGGCAGCAGCAGCATGACCACACAGCATGCATAGATGAGGTCCTCAAAGAGGGATGTGTCAGCACAGGAGAGACGCAGAAGGGCAGGGACCTCACAGAAGAAATGGTCCACCTCCAGAGAGCCACAATAGGGAAAGCTGAAGACTGTACCAACATCGATCACACTGTCGGCCACCCCACCTATCCAGGATGCCACAGCCAGCAGATAGCAGGTCTTCCAGCTCATGAGCACAGAGTACCGCAGAGGGTGGCAAATAGCTACATACCTATCGTAGGCCATCACTGCCAAGAGGAAGCACTCGGCTCCTCCTACCATGACCACTAGGAAGATCTGAGCTGCACAGCCTGCCCAAGAGATGAACTTATGGCCTGAGAGAAAGTTGGCTGCCATCTTGGGCACCACAGCACAAACCAAGGTCAAGTCCATGATGGAGAGCTGACTGAGGAAAAAGTACATAGGAGTATGCAGGCGCCTGTCACCCTGGATGAGCAGGAGGAGAAGGATGTTGCCAGTCAGGGCCGCAGCAAAGGCCAAAAGGACCAGGGAAAAGAGGAAGAAGTCATATGATGAGTGGCTGAGCAGACCTCTAAGGATGAAACTCGATAGGAAGGTGTGGTTCCAGAGCTCCATAGCCATGACCCTGAGAAACAAACAAAAGAACAAATAAAACTATTTTCCTGCCATCTCTATGGAACAAGGAAATACTTGTTTGTTTGTTTGTTTGTTTCCAAAAGTAGACCCTGCATGTGAGAGTGATCTGGCTATGCCATCTGCAACCTCATTGATTACAAGGGTTGATCTGGCTGATGAAGCAGGTGTCCCCGTCCTCCCTCAACACTCCATATGCGTCCCTCCCAAAACTGAGCTCTGTGGAAGAGGAACACCTTCCCCAATAAAGGCTAGTTCTTTGTTCATAGATATGCTAATTGCTGTACTCCCCTTCTAGAACCTTCAGACAAGCTCTCAAAAGACAGAGCCTCCCTCCTTTTCACACTGCCCTACTCTTTTTTCCTACACTTAAAGCCCATTTTTTCTCAGCTGTCTTCTGTCCAAGCCAGATTTGATCCTTTTTTAATTTTGAAAGATGAAGGATAAGGCAAGCAGAGGCAGGGAAACCAGAGGGTGCAGGAAGAGAGAAGGGTAGTGAATAAATGCCCAGTGAATAGCTGTAGATGTTGGAAAAGGACAAATAGATTTAAGAGGTATGGAAAGTGAATGGTTGGAGGACAAGATAAGGGAGAAAGGAGAGGCATGGCAGGTTTAAAGGCTAATACAAATTAAAAATAGAGATTTAATTCTTCTTGTTAAAAAATAATGAGAGATTCTTCCCCAACTGTCTTAGAACATTTAATTTGAACACTTGTAAGTTCTATCTGAAATGTATGTAAATCTTATTAAAACTTTTAAAACTAAGTAAATTTCTTGCCAGCATTCTGACCCAGGAATGTCTGATGTCTCAAGGACCTGAGAGCCAGATCTCTTCGAAATATGATTACCAAGAAGGATCATGGAGGAGCTGGGATTGTAGCTCAGTGATAGAGCACTTGCCTGGCACATGGGAAGCCTAGGCTCAATCCTCAGCACCACATAAAAAACAAATTAATAAAATAAAGACATTTTTAAAAAAAAAAATTTTAAAGACTGTGGAATGGGACATGGTGGTGCACACTTGTCATTCCAATGACTCAGGAGTCTGAGGCAAGGCAAAGCACAAGTTCAAGACCAGCCTGGGCAACTTAGCAAGACCTTGTCCCAAAGTAAAATTTTAGAGAGGGTTAAATATATAACTCAATGGTAGAGTGCTTGTCTACAAGTGAAAAGCCCTGACTCAATCTCTAGCACCAAGAGAAAGGAAGCTCAGGGACTGGAGATAAAAATCAGGGGTAAAGCACTTGTCCAGCCTGTGTGAGGCCCCACTAAGAAATATTGTGCTCTTATCTCTCAGTCTCCATGGAATAGTAAGAGCCTAAATTCAGCCTGGCATCTCCCTCCAAGATGCAGAACTACCTCCTATCAGAAAGATGTGAGAAGTTTATTTTTCCCTTGGATTAGGCTAATTAACTAGCACATTGTCACTCCAAATGTCAAGTGAATTTAAGATAAACTATGTACGATAAATGGATGTCAATTCCTCTTAAGATGAAAATTTGAGGATACAGAAAAATAAACCAAGTATCAAAAGGAAAAGTATCCACGAACAGTTGCAAAACAAGTAATTCATGAGAAACCCAGACCCTCCCCAACTGCCCCTGGCCCAATGGCCCTTCTAAAAGTAACCACAGGAGGGTAATGTGAAAGCACTGGAGAAACTGGCTTGAAGTCATGAAACTCTGCCTTGCCTCTACATCCAGTTCAGCCCCTAGTTACTGTCCCTCTATAAATATTAATACCCAAGACTAAGAGATCGCACTTTCTCTTTCTGGAGATGACTCACATTCTCTCTTGAAAGTACTTTGTTGTTTTGCCCCCAAAGTTTCTCACTCTCAAGATGACTGGTGTTAAAGCCAGTCCTGATGGCACATACCTATAATCTCAGCGGCTCAGGAAGTTGAGGCAGAAGATAGCAAGTTCAAAGCCAGCTTCAAAAATTTAACAAAGTCCTAAGCAACTTAGCAACACCCTGTCTCAAAATCAAAAATATAAAAAGGCTGGGGATGTGGCTCAGTAGTTAAGTGCTCCTGGGTTTAATCCCCAGCATGCACACAAGAAAAGATGACTGATATTCTCCCAAAATAAGACCCCTATTTCAGAAAAAGAAAAAAAAAGAATTCAAGAATGTCCCCTAAGATGTTGGACAAAATTTCAGTTAGACAAGAGAAGTATGATTTAGTGATCTATTTCATAGCATGGTGACTACAGTAAATAAGTATTGTATATTTCCAAATTTCTATAAGTATATATTTAAAATATTCTCACCACAAAAAAAAATGATACCTATGTGAGGTGATAGGTTTGTTAATTAGCTTCATCAAATCATATCATAATATCATATCAAGTATTATTTGTCAATTGAAAATAAATATATTTTTTAAATCCCTTAACAGAAATTGGAAAACTATCAAGGAAAGACAAAGAATACTGACACAGAAAGAGAGTATTTATTAATAGAAGGAAGCAGGAGTGAGATACCTGGGGGCCTACAGTCATGATCAGGTTCTCAGATATGTTTATGTCTCTGGAAAACCTGGGAGTATGTTTACACATGCAGATTCCTTGCTCTGCCCGATGTCTCCCCCAAGGTTCTAGTTCGCTGGATCTGGATGGGACTCTGCAGTTAGTTATTTTTTAAAAGCTCTTCATCCAGCAGTTCAGGAGGCTGAGGCATGAGGATTGTGAGTTCAAAGCCAGCCTCAGCAACTTAACGAAGGCTTAAGCAACTCAGTGAGACCCCGTCTCTAAATAAAATATTTAAAAGGGCTATGGATATGGCTCAGTGGTTAAGCACCTCTGGGTTTAATCCCTGGAGGAGGAGGAGGAGGAGGAGGAGGAGGAGGAGGAGGAGGAGGAGGAGGAGGAGGAGGAGGAGGAAAAGCTCCTTGTGTGATCCTGATGGGGAAATAGATTCACACACAATTGGTTCAGAGCAATGTGGGTACATAACTCTGTTCTCTTTTTGGTAGAGGTAAGGAAAGCTATCTGGAGTCAAAGATTGGAAACAAATATGAAAAAGTAGAGGACACAGACCCAACACATTTCAGAGATATGCTGGTAAATGGAGTCAGAGCAGGCAAAGAGGTAGAATCCAAGTTCAACATAGGCCAAAATGCATAGAACACGTGGCCAGGAGGCAATAGGCCTATCCACTGACTTTGAAACTCAGTTCAGAGCCTAGAGAATGATGATAAAAATTTGCCTAGGAAACTAAGATTAACATCTTCCTGGTTTCCAATTCTGACAATGTTTGTGAAGTCTCTGTGTCCAGCCTGACACTCTCCAGAAAGCCTGAAGCTGAAGCTTCAAATCACCCTAATTCCTCCCAGTTCCAATCACCTTCAGACCTTCATCTGTCAGGTCCTCCCTCACCTCCTCAGTGTCTATCAATCTATTGATGTTCACCTTCTACTTTACCTGGCAAATACTTGGCAATGTATGAGCCAGTGGTGGCCTGGGGAAGGCTCCTTACGCACACTCTTCCCCCCAATTTCAGGGGCTCCAAGTACAAATTTATAGAAGTAACCATCCAAGATGTTCTGTTTCTTACAAAATTGATAATGAGCTCAGGTCCCAGGTTATACCTCCAGTTATAGGGCAGATGTCTTGGGACACCAAACACAACTCTTAATGAGCCTGGGGAATAAACAGACACTCTGCACCAAGAAGGAAATCAAAATAATGAATTGGCTTCAGGACAAAACTCATTCCCTATAGTCCTAACTCTGAAAACTACCCCATACTCCCATCTAAATGAAGAAAGAGACTCCCAGGGGACATCCCCCAACATAACCCTTGTACACTTCCCTAGGAGGTGTCTCCATTCTAACCTTACCCTAGGCACTGAGTGTTAGAGTGAATATCTTTTTATACTCTGGGAGTCTGGGGAGTTTTTTGTTTGTTTGTTTTTGTTGTTTTGTTTTGTTTTGCAGCACAGTGGATCTAACCCAGGGCTTTGCACATGCTTTGTGAGTGCTTTACCAATGAGCCCCACCAGAGCCCTACCCTGGGAGTTCTGCTAATGGATAACAGGAAGTGGAAACTGGTCAGGTATTACATGCCCTCAGTTTATGTCCTATACTTTTATACACTTAATCACTGGTTGATCATTGCTCATTCAACAAGTAATTATTGAGCAACGTAGAAATAAAGGAAAACCTACCAAATGTAATCAAAGCCTATGTACCCAGAGTTTTCTATAGCAAGGGAGTCGATCACTATCATTTGACCATTTGGTAGAGACTCAAAGACAGAGGAGTGGGAAAGTTTTCAATTAACAAAAATCATGCCTCAGATGAACTCACTGGTTTTGATATTGCCTCTGCAGAAAGCTGGGGTGGAAAAATTTTAAACTGGACAAAAACAAGAGAAGGTGTGTTCTGACTGGAAGCTGTTTGCTTAGAGAAGCTAGAGAAAGGCTAACTAGAAGCAAGCTCTCCTATTCACAATTGATTGTATATATATATATATATATATATATATATATATATATATAGTCAATTGTGAAAAAAATATATGGCTTTCTCTGGTTGATCCTAAGTTGGAAGCAGAGGAATGAATTAGAAAAACAGTCATTTATTAGTCAAGTCCTGGCCATTTAGTGCCAGTTGTTGCAGAATTTATTCTTTAGCTTCCTACATTACTAAAGATAGCAATCTGATTTCCTACAAGTCAGATGCATAGCATTTGACTTCCTGAGCTTTTATTGTAGATATAGAGGTTGTTTTCCTGAGCAGGTTGCTGTAGACTGTGGTCAGAATTTCATTTTTATACATGATCTATCCATTGTTTATATTTAAAGTTTCTCAGTGCCTATAAATGTGAACATCTAAGACTGATTATTTATTATTATTAGCAGTAGTAGTAATAGTAATAGTAGTAGTGGTAGTAGAGGATTTGAACCCAGAAATACTGACCACATCCCAGCCCTTTTTAGTTTTGATTTTGAGACAGGGTCTCACTAAATTGCTTAGGCCCTTGCTAAG